ACAACTGAAAACCTATAGTAAGAGGTACAAATCATTAATAGTAGAATATCAGAAATGGACAATAAACTGAAAGGGCAAAGGAGTAGAATTGAAAACACAGAAACCAGAACTAGTGAGCTAGAAGATAAATCTTTCAACACTACTAAGATAGAAGAGCAAGCACAAAAAAATGATAAAGATATCTGAAGAAGGCCGAAGATTCATGTGGGACAACATGAAGAGGAATAACTTAAGAATTATCAGCATTCCAGAACAGGAACAATCACACAAGTCCACAGAGGAGATAGTTGAAGAGCTGCTGGAAGAAAATTTCCCTCACATCCTGAAAAGTGAAATGATAAGCATTTCGGAAGCTCAACGAACTCCAGGAAGGATAGACCCTAAAAGAAAATCAACAATACATATAATAATCAAGCTCTCCAAAATCAAAGATAAGGACAAAATTCTGAAAGCAGCTAGAGAAAAGAAAAGTGTAACATACAAAAGAAAGCAAATCAGATCTCTCAACAGAAACCATGCAGGCAAGAAGGCAATGGGGAGACATATATAAAACCCTGAAAGAAAAAAACTGCCACCCAAGAATCCTCTACCCAGAAAAGCTGTCAATCAAATACGATGGTGTAATCAAAACATTCCACGATAAACAGAAGCAAAAGGATTTTGCCAAAGACAACCCTGCTATGAAAAACATCCTAAAGGAAGTTCTGTGGACTGAGAAACAACAAGAACAGACAACAACCAGATAATGACGTATGTGGCAGTATCACTCTGAACTCAATCGACAAATGGAAGCATCAAGAACAGAGTAAAATTATAAGAACAGAGGATCTGAGAAGTCAGTTATGGTCACAACAATTACAATGTGAAAGAAGGTAAACATAGAGCAACAGAGATCCAGGTGGTGAGGTCAGGTAGATTATAGGATAAAATAGACTGTCTTAAATGGAGGTTAGAGTTAATGGGATATAAGGTAACCACAACAGTGGGGTTAGGGTAGGGAGTTTAGTTCGGGTGTTGGTGAGGGCAATACAAGAAAGGGGAGGAAGCAGAAGAACAAGATAGATAGAGGAACACTGAGACAGGTTTGCATGGGCTAAGTAGGACACAGGTAAATAGTGATGCATGCTCCAACTTGGAACAACAGAGCTCTGGGATACAGGGATCTAGACATAGTTTGTAGAGGGGAAATAATACTAAAATGCTTGACTGTCTTATGAATGTTGGTTTCCCTTGCCTACTATTGTAAAATAGACACTTGAGTGGCATAGAAAGGAATGTTGGGAAACATTACAGAAAACCTGTAAGCCCATCTTCAGCCTATAACTGACTGGAAAACCTAAAAGGGGTTCTAGAACTTGCCCAGTGAAACAGGCCTCTTACAAAGCCTTTGCAGACTATAGGACCTTAGGTGGAATCCTGAGTCCCATCCAGAACCTTATGAGGTGGGACATTCCCACTATCAAGGACAAGGAGACCAGCCTGGAGCAGCCATAGCAACAGAAGATATATCTTCAAAGAAAGATCATCAGCAAAAACCCAAAACAAAAATGTCAGCATGACTGGCCACTATGAGAATAAGCAAGCTGTTTGACAGGAAGCAATCAAGGTACACAATCAAGTTCCTTCAGGACAAACTCCCCTCTGAGACTGAAACTCAAAGGGAACACACAAACAGTCATGTAAGCTTGCTAGCGACCACACTGATCTACTGGTAGGTAGAAGAGGAGGAAAGGCAGCAATGAAGAAATGGGCTGAGTTCACTCATGTTCCATAAGACTCCTGATAACCTGGAGATGAGAGAGAGAGAGAAGTGAAAGGGTTGGTTGGTCCAAAGTCTGTTGAGACCTGGGGACACTTGAGCCCATGGACAAAATAGCCACAGAGGGCTAGAGCTAAGACTGAAGCATTCAGCTGATATGAAGTGAGGGTAGATGCACAAGAACGCCCAAACTTGCACACAGTACCCTTTTGACCTAGTCTCGACAGCTTAATAATCAGAACTCGACTAGAGGAAGATTTGAAAAAAAAAATTTTTTTTTTCAATAAAGGAAACAAGGGTAAATTACTACAATCTGATGATGAACCTGACCTATACTCATTCAGATAGTACCTCTAAATACCAACTGAGAGGGAAAGAGTCTTCACATCAAGTATCAATGCTATCCCCTCTGTACACAGGGTAGATAGGGACGGACAACATAGACATTGGCTACCTAAAATGAGGGGGCAATAAAGGCACGAAGTGACTGGCTTACAAGGTTTCAATATGGAGTTTAGTTTAAGAGTATAAGGGGGTGGGAAGAAATGTCCCCACTGAATATAGTTTTTATCTTGTCTAGATGGGGCTGGTGACAAGAGATGGGGATAAGATTTGTATGATACATTAGTGAATAACTGTTATCATGAATAATTGTGACTGTCACAATTGTAAAGATAGAAATTTTGTAACAAAAACGGGAGTGGTTAATCTTACAATCCAGAAACAGAGGACCCTAGGACTATCAAGGGAGAAGCACACAAGCAGAATGTAGGACCTTATCCAGAGAAGCAGCAATGCCAGAGATGGAGGCAGAGATGAGGTCACAGAGAGAGGGAGCAGCTGAGGACTCTAGATTCCTGGGAAGAGAGGGACTAAGAGGAGGCACACTTGCAAAATGTGCCCTTTGGAGGTGTAAATTACTATATATGCCTGAGTGTTTTTTGTTTGTTTGTTTTTCAAAAAAATTAAAGTGAATAGAGAGAAATACTGTTAACTAATGGTACACTGTTGTTAAGTGCCGTCGAGTCGGTTCTGACCCCATAGCGACCCTGAACAGG